ATTATGTATAATTTATATTTATCAAATACCAATACCTTCCCCGACTGCTAAAGTTTTTTATTTTTGTAGCAATGTAGCTCATCTGGCATTTGGAAATTCCCCTCAAAGTGCCCTCCCGCAAACCAACCATGCATTTCAATTCCATCCATCTCAAACAGAAATAATAAGTGGTTGACTAAAAAAAATTGTTTTGAAGATAATAATAATTACTGTTTCAAAACCACACACCTTTTATTTTCTGTAGCTCTTGCTCAAGTTTAACGATTTTCTTTMTGGCTTCATAAAGCTCTTCATCCTTGATTCGACAGTGAATACACGACTGCATCGGTAATTGCTGCAGGGCTGTATCTGTAGTTCTAAATCGCTGCCTTGGGCATTTCTGCCCAACTGTAGGTCGTAAAATTTCAGCAGCACTTGTGACAAGATCATCTGCACATGAGTCATCGGTATTACTTTCGWACACGTTGTAGCTTATATCTACAAGGTCCTCATCTGTATTATCGGGTGGAATGATCTCCGTCATACTGAAGCTTTGCATTTCTGAAAGAAGCTTTTTGTTAGCGCTTAAGGCAATTTCCTTTTGCTTTTGCTTTTCTTCTTTTTTTTTAATTTGTTCCTGTTTTTTCTTCAGCTGCTCTTCTTTTTTTTTAAGTTGTTCCTTTTTCTTTTCTTCTTTGTTATTCTCATTAAYTACTTTCTTTTCCTTAGCTCTCTGTTGATTGGCTAATTCCTTTTTGTTTGCTTCTTTGATCGATCCTCTTGTATCTTCAGCATCCTCCATCTTCTTCTTTTTGACCTTCTGTGGCTGTTCACATGTAACATAAATTTGATCCAAGTTCTTAAGGAGCTTAATAAGGATGTCTTTACTCTCTGTAAGTAAGTCGAGAAGAAATTCAAAGTAATATAAGAATTCATTGAATGAATTAGATAATAAAAACAGTCAATTAAAATCTTATTCTACCTGACTTTCTTTGTATAATACATCTGTATAACTTGTTATGAGGACCGTATGGTGCCATATGGCCCTCCTTAGTCCATTCAATCTTATCTGACGGCAAAATGCTATATTCATTGTCTTCGATGTATTGTACCAGAGCATACTCTAAAACAGAATAATATATAGATTTTGGCTTTAACGACTGTAGTTCTCATTGCCCACTCGCATCTTTCTGCACATGTATATTTAGTCAAATTTATTAGTTAATATGCGTGCACGCGACGTGCACGCGACGTGCACGCTCTTGTGTTTTTGATAGTCGCTTCTAAAAATCCAAAACTTTGTGGTAAAATATCGACACATCCTTCGTATTAAAAATAACAACTCAGCATATCATGGGTCTATTAACAAAAAACACTCTTCGCGTGATCTTGAGGAGGGGATGACCTGGGCGCTTTATCCCATGAATGAAACAAAACAAAACAAACATTTGATTTGACTTCAAAATACCTTTATCAAGAGAAAAAGRTGAAAGAAAAAAGCTCTAGATATACATTTTTGACCAGATGATAGAATTTCTGTACTTTTGTGGAAAAATTRTTTAGCACGTATTTCGCGCGCTAAAATTTTCTTCGCCGATTTTACCGATTTTGTGCTGGAAATTTATCGGAAAACAAACTGGTATCCGCCAAATATTTTTCGATTGTTGAAGAAAGTCGCAGTCAAACTAGTTAAATTGCAGTGAAAGTCGCAGT